CCGACTCTTCTCAGCACCAGCAGTGGGGGCAAGAGCACAATCAGCCACATCAGCAGCCCTGGGACTGTGACCCGACTGGGTAGTGTCACTCAGGTTACCTCCTTCAGCCATGCCTCCCCTGGTAACCGAGGAGGCTGCAACTTTAAGGTGAGCCCCTCTTGAATCCACCGGCCTCACCATACACCAGCTCCAAAGGCTGCTTTAAGGGTGCAGGACTAGCAGGCTTTCTCTGCGATGCTCCTCCGCCACTGTGCATGCAAAGCCACCGAGGTCAGAGAAGGAGCATCGCTGCCAATAGTCCACAGGTAGTGGGTCGCATGACTAAGACTGATCCACTGGATCACCCAGAGACATAGCTGAAGTCATTTTCCCCATGTGCTGACCTTTTGTTGTTTAGTTTGTTTGATGTGGAGTCTCCTGTGCCCTGGGTTGGCAATGATCTTTGCACATAGCCAAGGCTGAACTTAAACTCAGTGAGCCTCCTGTCTCCACCTCCAGAGAGCTGGCACTACAGGCGTGAGCCACCATGCTTGGGTCCATTTGCTGGTCTCTGATCCTTGTACCTAAATTGATCAGTTCGTTCTTCGTGAGCAAGTGTGAAGCCTGAGGCTCGGAGAAGGTGGTAGGGGCTCCCGCTGTCTTCCTATGGCAGCCCTGATACCCTTGTTGCCACCTGACGCTGGACGTCAGCCCCAGCGTGGAGATCAGATCACAGGCTCACGCAAGCTCAGTCTGGTGCATTAGGAGATTGTTGATTAGCATCTTCGCCGTGGAAGCAGAGCAGAGCCACTGATGAAGACAGGCAGGCAGGGCGGCATCAGGCAATGAGGCATCGGCCCAATAGGTGCCACGGGAACTGAATACGATGTATTCCTTCTATTATTCATTCCCGAGCCCGGGATCAGCTGGCTGGGAGCTCCGATGGGGAAGAGATTCCCACTGGTCTGCCCAGGTAGTGTCCTCTATACTGTACCAAAGACCGAATGGGACTTTGACTGAGGTGAGGTGGTCAGGCGGAGCTAGCGTTGGGTCTTCTAGCTGGTGACAGGAAGACAATGGGAATGACAGCGGCCTTCTTGCCACAAAGCAGGACCCAACAGATTGGGATGGCTGTCATGAGGGATGGTTACAGATGAGGTTCTCGAGGTGAATGGAAGGTGTCAGGGTTAGATGACTTTGGCGCGAACAACTCACCTGTCTCCCCAGCTGGGTGGAGCAGATGGTGTGTCTGTAATGCACTTGCGCAATGCCTGGGCTTGGATCTGGCTGGGCTAGAGAACATGTCTCCAGGGCCAAGCCCCTTTCCTGCAGGTTACTTAAAGGCCCACCTCTTTGTGTCTCCGTTTCCCCGACTTGCTCAAAATTTTCTAAGAGTGTGGCACAAGGCCAGAGATTTGCAGGAGCCCAGCAAATCGAAGTCTCACAGCTAATGTACATGGTGTCTCAGCCCGTGTCTTCCTCCCTGCTTCCATTTTTCTACCTATGGGTCATGGGACTCTGGTCTCAGTAATCCTTGAGACATGCAGCAGGCTGTGTTCGTGTTTGGGCAGGCTACCCATCCCCCTCCATCCCCTCCATAGAGAAGCCCAGAATAGGTTTCTATTTGGGCAGTTGCTCCAGCTGGCTGGTGGCAGGCTGGGAGGCCAGCAGGGGCGGGGCAGGCTCACTGCCCTTGCCTTCGCCCTCAGACCAGCTGCAGAGACTCTGACGCTGCCAGCATAGACAGCCGCCCCTGCTACTGTCCCACCATCGTACCCCAAAGAGTCCCCGGTAGCACGATGCCAGGAGTACCAGGGCCTGGGCCCGAGATGGCTGCGGCCTTTGAGGAACGGTTGAGCCGGGCATTACAGGAGCTGCAGGCGGTAGCTGAAGCGGGCCGGGCTGCGGTGACCCAGGCAGCTGATGCAGCCCTAGCCACTGTAGAGCCGGTGGCTCAGGCAGCTGAAGAGCTGCGTGCAGAGACAGCCGCTCTGAGCCGGCGACTAGACACACTGACCAGGCAGGTGGAGGTACTGAGCCTGCGGCTGGGTGTTCCACTTCTGCCGGACCTGGAGTCTGAGCTAGAGCCCAGCGAGTTGTTGCTGGCTGCTGCCGACCCTGAGGCCCTCTTCCAGGCAGCTGAGGATGCTGGGGCTCCTGTGGCCCACCCGCCTGCTTTTAGCACCCGCCGCAGCTCCTCTGCGGGTCCCTCTCGCAGCAGCAGTCTCGTAAGTCAGCCCGTGGGAGGGACTTGATTTGAGCCCAGCTCTGCTGAGTGTCTGTAGACAGACCAACACTTCCTCAGCCTCAGTTTACCTCACTGTACAGAGGACTAAGCATGGGTACTCTAAGATTGGAGCAAGAAGGTCCCAGACTCTTAACCCTGGTGGCTGTCCTGCAGCCTCAACCAGGCCAGGCCTCTCAGGAGCAGCTGCCACCTTGGCTCTCCCTACCCTCATGACAGACAGAGGCCCTGCTGGGAGGGGACGGCTATAGAAGCTGAGCTGGGCCTTGGCTTCAAGGGGCAAGGTGGGAGGGAGTTCCCTTGGGGGAGATAGGTCAGTGCTGTTGCCCCTTAGGTAATGGTACCCAGCAAGGTGGGGAAGGAAGTGGTCTGGACCTCCAGAGATGAGACGTCTTGGTTTGGGGTAGCCTGACTCAGCCACCTTGTTAGGAGACCTTGGGACCTGGTCCAGCCCCTTGGCAAGCAATACTTGCCTGGGCGGAAGCTAGAAAAAAAAATATTAGAAAGAACTCAAGTTGAGGAGCTAAACTACTGCAGCTCAACCCCCAGGTCATATCACACTCACAGAGGGCCTAGCCTCAGTTTCCCCTGTATCTGACAGGGACAATAATATCCCCAGTGCTTATACAGATGTTTTCTACTGAATGGAAACCATTCTTCCTACTGCCACCAACTTGGATTAATATGATTCTGAATTCTGGATATGTGGGAAACTATATACAGGGCTTCCACTTTGACTACCCTGGACCTGAAGCCAACATAGCCAACCTACATTAGTAGGCCTGGAGGGCTGTTGGCTATTTCCAGTGCTATGCCTGCAGCCCCAGGATCTAATCCTCTCCCACCCAGGTTTCATGCCCATCCCTGTGTAAACCCTACACCCTCTCCACACTCTGTAGATGGAGCCAGATCCAGCAGAGCCCCCCTCTGTGACAGTGGAAGCAGCTAATGGCACAGAGCAGACTCGAGTGGACAAAGCCCCAGAGGGGCGGAGCCCCCTGAGTGCCGAGGAGCTGATGGCCATTGAGGATGAAGGAGTCCTGGACAAGATGGTATGTTAACTCCGGTAGGCTGGGGGCTGGCAGAGGGTAGGGATTGGCAGGCCCCAGGTGTGCAGCAACTGTTTCATCTACAGCTGGACCAGACTACGAACTTTGAGGAACGGAAGCTCATCCGGGCTGCACTCCGTGAGCTCCGACAAAGAAAGAGAGGTAGAGAGCCAGTTGCCCACTAGACGTAGCCGCTCCATTCCTCAGCCGCGCCCCTCATTCTGGAGGCAGTAGTTGCCCTCCTCGTGTCCCCCTCCCTGGAGCCATCTGCTCCCTGGCCTCCTTGCCCTGTGTCCAGCTGTGCATTCCCAGCCATTCCCCTCGGCCCTTCTCACCTTGCATCTAATTGTGCCTTGCTTTAATCCAGATAATCCCCCAGTTGCTCCTCTCCCCTGGGTTGCTCCCCTTAGCCTCTAGCCCATATGTGGTCATTTCCCTTCCCTGCGGTTCTTCCCTGGATCTGGCTTTTCTCTCCCTCATACTCTAGATTGACTTCTGGAACAGTTGTTCTCTGAGAACAATCACTCCCCCAGCCTACCCCACTCCCAGCTGGCAGTCAAATGCCTCCTGCAGCCCTGACAAGCGCTCTCCCTCCCGCTGAGCTGCATGTGCCCTGATGTCCCCTGTCCCCAGCCTACTTGCTTTTTCAGCAGACCCAGTTAACCCTCCCCACCAGCTTCTTTCTCAAGTGTTTTTCCCCTGGATCTGATGGCTTCTCCCAGTACCTGCACCCACCCCTGGGTCTCGGCATCCTCCTTGCAGTTGCTCCTCTCCTCCCTGAGACTAGTTTGAAGGGTTCACCAGTCAGCTGTGGTGCCCACCCAGCCCTCTCTGGATGTCAGCTATTCCCTCCTGACTGGCTGCTTAGTCCCACAGAAACTTGTCTTGGATCCAAATATCCCCCCTCCCATCTCAGAGCCCATCACCCTCAGCACACACTCAGCTCTGTGCCAAGTTGTGGTTGTCCCCCCACCCACCCACTTTCAACCATCCCTAGAGAGGCACGGGTTTTCTGTCATTGGTGTTTCTAACGAGCTGCCTCCACTCCATCCCGTGTACCCCTTGTGTCTGTGCATGTGTGCTGTGTGGCGCTGGGCGGCCCCTCTGGGCATGCATGGGGGCATCTCCTGCTCAGACCAGAGGGACAAGGAGCGAGAACAGCGACTACGGGAGGCACGGGCCCGGCCAGGGGAGAGCCGAAACAATCTGGCTACTGAGACCACCACGAGGCACAGTCAGCGGGCGGCTGACGGCTCAGCTGTCAGCACAGTTACCAAAACTGAGCGGCTCGTCCACTCCAGTAAGACTGAGCAGGGCTTGGGGCTCGGGGCGAGCTCAGGCTAACTCCCTGTACCTTTCACACGCTTCTTTGTCCCTTTGCTGTCCCTGCAGACGATGGCACACAGACGGCCCGCACCACCACTGTGGAGTCAAGTTTCGTGAGGCGCTCGGAGAGTAAGGCCACCTGCTCTCTCCTGTGCCTGCTGCCTGCTGCCTGCTCACCTCCTTTAGTTCTTCCTTAAACACTCTGTGTCTTCAACCGTGCCCCACTTTCACTTCTCTACTGTGTCTATCACCATCCCTCCGGGCAGCCCCCCCATATCCTCCCGTCCAGCCCAGGTCATCTCACCCCCTTTTTCGCAGATGGTAGTAGCAGCAGCACCACAGTCCAAACCAAGACCTTTTCCTCTTCCTCGTCCTCATCCAAAAAGATGGGCAGGTGAGCATGGGACAGTGCCTATGGGGATCTCGCTACGGATTCATTCTGCAAGGGGGCAGGCTGACCTACTGAGAGGATAGGCCTACAGTAAGGGAGGTACCAAATGTGCCCTGCTTGCTTTGTGATCTCTCTTAATCCTCAGCCACACCACAAGGTAGGGGTGGAGGACTGTGGAGGCCCAGACCCTTGGTGTGTGTTTCACACTGAGCCTTAGAGAGTGACCTGCCATCGCCTGCTGGCACTGCCACCTTCCCACATCTGCAACACACTTCTGGGTCACAGAGCTTGACTTGAGGGAGAGTACACCCCACAGTACAGAGAGATACAACCCACAGTACAGAGAGATACGCCCACAGTACAGAGAGGTACACCCCATAGTACAGAGAGATACACCCCACAGTACAGAGAGATACAACCCACAGTACAGAGAGATACGCCCACAGTACAGAGAGGTACGCCCACAGTACAGAGAGGTACACCCCACAGTACAGAGAGATACAACCCACAGTACAGAGAGGTACGCCCACAGTACAGAGAGATACAACCCACAGTACAGAGAGGTACGCCCCACAGGACAGAGAGATACAACCCACAGTACAGAGAGATACAACCCACAGCACAGAGAGATACAATCCACAGTACAGAGAGGTACGCCCCACAGTACAGAGAGGTACGCCCACAGTACAGAGAGATACACCCACAGGACAGAGAGATACAACCTACAGTACAGAGAGGTACAACCCACAGGACAGAGAGGTACAACCCACAGTACAGAGAACTACGCCCACAGTACAGAGAGGTACGCCCACAGTACAGAGAGGCACACCCCACAGTACAGAGAGATACGCCCACAGTACAGAGAGGTACGCCCACAGTACAGAGAGATACAACCCACAGTACAGAGAGGTACGCCCACAGTACAGAGAGGTACGCCCACAGTACAGAGAGGTACGCCCACAGTACAGAGAGGTACACCCACAGTACAGAGAGGTACAACCCACAGTACAGAGAGGTACGCCCACAGTACAGAGAGATACACCCACAGGACAGAGAGATACAACCTACAGTACAGAGAGGTACAACCCACAGGACAGAGAGGTACAACCCACAGTACAGAGAACTACGCCCACAGTACAGAGAGGTACGCCCACAGTACAGAGAGGCACACCCCACAGTACAGAGAAGTACGCCCACAGTACAGAGAGGTACGCCCACAGTACAGAGGATGCAGGGCCGGAAGAAAGCACAGTGGCTCCAGGAGCTCTCATTTGGTGAACTGCAATGCAGATGCTATAGCCCTGCAACTGTGCCCTCTGAAACCCTACGAAAGAGGCCTCGATTTCCACATTGTTAGTGGAAACAGCATGGATTCCTCTCACCCCTTGCAAAGTTGATTGGTTTTTGTCTGGACAAGCACCGCACCACTGAGCTCCATTGCTGGTCCTCTCTTCACCTTTTCCTTTGAGGCAGGGTCTCTCCCTAAATTGCCGATATTGGCCTTGATCTCCCTCTGTGGTTCAGCAGGCTGTGAGCTTGCCTTAGCTACCTGAGTATCTGGTATTATAGACCTACACTTTTTGTATTTTTGCGGTATGGTGTGAGGTGGACATTGACAGAGTCTCACTCTGTGTCCCAGGCTGGTTTGAACTTGTGATCCTCCAGAGTTCTGGGATATCAGGAGCACACCAGCACATCAGAGTCCCCTGTGGTGTTTAAATAGCACAGTGGGAGGACTGAGGGTGTAGCTCATTTGTAGAGCATTTGCTTAGCACCTCGGAGACCCTGGATTCCTTCCGCCAGCACTAGAAGTAATAAAAGAACACACGAGAAAGTCTTAAAGGCTCATGCTCACTTCATTACTTTTTACTGCTTGGTTTAGGTATTGGGGATGGAACCTAGGGCCTTGTGCTTCTAGGCAAGTTCTCTACTTGCCCTTTCATTTTTTATTGCGAGTCAGGAGTTTCCCCAAGTCAGCCACCGCATCGCTCAGATGGTCCTCCAGCTCGCAGTCTTTCTGGTTCAGCTCCCCAGTAGCTGGGATTACTAGCCCGTGCCGCTGTTATTACTTGATAATGCCTAGATGCTGAGCTTGTCTAGAACCTGGCAGTACAACACACACCCCTAGAAAAGTCCTGGGAACGAAACCTGAGTAGACAAGCATGGCTGCCAGCCTCCTGTGTTTGTGCCTCTATGTCCCTCTCTGTAAAATGGGCATGACAAGGACACCACTCCCCACTGTTAGGGCCACCCTCTACTCCCCCAACCTGTTCTTCATTTGTTAGTGGAAGTTGCTGGTGGCATTTCATGCAGTATAAGACCTCTCCTAAATGCTGCTCCAAGCAGCCCAGGAGGACGCCATGCAGCTGTACAGAGAGCTGCACCGGTTTCAGCGTTTTCAAGACCAACAACATCAAAGCTAGTGATCCTGCTCTGGTGCCAAGAGGGCGGGCCCCACAACATGCATTTTGTCACCCTCCAGCATCTTTGACCGAGAGGACCAAGCCAGCCCACGTCCTGGCAGCCTGGCTGCCCTAGAAAAGCGCCAGGCAGAGAAGAAGAAAGAGTTAATGAAGGCCCAGAGTCTGCCCAAGACTTCAGCATCGCAAGCACGCAAGGCCATGATTGAGAAACTGGAGAAAGAAGGCTCCGCAGGGTGAGTGGTACAGGGTGTGGGCTGCCCAGCGGGCATGGTCTGGGCGTTGGGGATAGGGCCTGAAGCTCAGTGGGTGGAGCCAGAGGTGGGATAGAAAGGCTGAAGGTCATGGAAGACTAAACCAGGGGCCCAACGGGTAGGCTGGCCCACTAATGGGGTCTTGTGACCCTCCTCCCACACTGCCCCCCACAGCAGTCCTGGCACACCCCGTACGGCTGTACAGCGTTCCACCAGCTTCGGAGTCCCCAATGCCAATAGCATCAAGCAGATGTTGCTGGACTGGTGCAGAGCCAAGACTCGTGGCTACGAGGTGAGCCCAGTGGAACGCCTCAGCTTGGTACCCGCTCCTTAGAATTATTTTGCCGCTACCATGTGCTCTGGCAGGAAACACGGAAAACATTCTCAGATGGGAAAACTAAGTATCGGGTAGACCATGTATCCTGTTCTGGATCCTGAGGGCCTAACGAAGGAAGGCCCTTTGCGCTGGTGGGCATGATTCAAGGACAAATCCTGCTCTTGGAGTCCAGTCAGTGTTACACAGAGTAAATGATAGCGAGGGGAGGAGTGACTGGAACATTGACCACAGCCTTAGCTAAGTGGCACTGGGCTCTCAGTAGCCCTCCCCTGCCCCCGCTAAAAATCACAGCTCAAAGGTTCATAATCTGAGTTGGAAGAGGCTCGTGTTTTGACTGTTCGCCTTCTGTACAACTTTCAGCAAGCTATGAGGTCTGTCTGAGCCCAACTGCCGTAGGTCTGGGATGCAGGACGTGGGAAAGGGGGGTTCAGCAAGCACGGAAAGGTTTCCCTAGGTCCTGACCAGTGCTCTTTCCTCCCATAGCATGTGGACATTCAGAACTTCTCCTCCAGCTGGAGTGACGGGATGGCCTTCTGTGCCCTGGTGCACAATTTCTTCCCCGAGGCTTTTGACTATGGGCAGCTTAGCCCACAGAACAGGCGCCAGAACTTTGAAATGGCCTTCTCATCTGCTGAGTAAGTGTGGGCCCCCTCCTCCTGGTGTCAGCTGGGCTCAGCAGCCCCGAGACCCCATGGAAGTGGCCAGTTGTTCTGTGGGTCTGCAGACGAGACCCCCCTTCCCCAGAGAGTTTCCATCCTCCTCCACCCCATGCCCACCTGTTGCTGAGTGTGCCAGGTGCCCACCGGAAGGAAGGAGCAGCAGGCTCGCCTACCAACCCAGGCTACAGCCAACCAGGTGGCCCAGTCCATAACCTCTCCCTCCTCCCTCTGCCCCTGTCCCTCCTCTCTCCATTTCTCTGTCCTGCTCTCCTCCCACTATCACCAGAGCTTCCTGCTCCCACGGGATCCCAGCTGGAGATTCCAAAAGGAGGCTCCTGGCCCAGGCACCGTGCCCGAGTGACCTATATAGGCTTATATAGGACATCAAAAGCCCTCCACTTTGGAATCGTTGCCCCTTCTGCACACTGCACCCAAGCACCCTCCTCCATCTTTTTCTTATTCTCCCCTTCTCTTTCGGTTCCCTCCAGGATTTTTCCTCCTCCTCCCCCACTCCTCTCACGCCTCCCTCACCCCCCCCATCCCTGGGGCACAGCCCTCCTCTCCAACCTCGGCACCAGTGCCGTTGCCCCCCTTCCCCTGTGTCCCCGCTTGCCCCAAGAGTTCTCTGCACCTTGACTGGTTTGGCCCCCCACCCTTGTCTGCACCGCACACCATTAGTGACGGGTAGTGAGCGGCACGTCCACCGTTGGGAGGGGGCATGCGGGAGGCTGGCAGACTGCGGCACTGACAACATAACTGAACTCATGTCTCTGTGTGTGTATGTGTGTGTGTGTCTCTGTCCTCCCTTCTCTCTCGGCCTCTCTCCCTCCTTCCTCCACCGGGTCCTGCCCCCGCCCCTTCCTGGCCCCCTACCCTCCCCAGGACCCATGCGGACTGCCCGCAGCTCCTGGATACAGAGGACATGGTGCGGCTTCGAGAGCCTGACTGGAAGTGCGTGTACACGTACATCCAGGAATTCTACCGCTGTCTGGTCCAGAAGGGGCTGGTAAAAACCAAAAAGTCCTAACCCCTGCCTGGGGCCCCACGGTGAGAAATGTCGCCTCTCCCACCTGCCCCATTTCTCCGGAATCTGCTCATCAGTGCACAAAGAGGGATGAGGGGAAAGGGGGGGGGGAGTGCAGGGGGAGCCTTAGAAAAGCCAAAGGAGACAGGCAGGACCCTAGGTGACACCATTGCCCATGGGGAGTGGTGACAAAGTAGGAAGACAGATGGGGGAGCCCAGGAGGCCCCAGACTCAGGCTTCAGGCCCAGGGTGGCAGTCTGTAAAAAAGAGAAAACTAAACTGGGATCCGAGCAGTTCAGCCTGAAGGAAGAGAAGGAGCTGCAGGCACAGGAACAGGCCCGACAGGGCCAGGGACAAGAGAGATGGAGAATATAGCATTACCTGGAAGGGAGGGTCTTGATGAGAGAAGACGACCACAGTTTGAGTTTGAACTTCCTTGTGAGGACCCAGGAATCAAAGGTATCCAAAAAGGAGAGGTGTGCTCAGGTTAGCGTTCTAAAACGATCCTCGGGTGAAACTTGAGATGTTCAAGATGGAGCAGCATCAGAAGTAGGGAGGGCAGAGCCAGGTGTGGTGTGTGAGCTTGCAATCCCAACATTCAGGTGCCTGAAGCTTGGGGATCACTGTGGAAGGCCAGCCTGGGCAGCATAGCAAGACCCTGTGGTTTGGTTTTTCGAGACAGGGTTTCCCTGTGTAGTCCTGGCTGCCCTGGAACTCACTCTGTAGACCAGGCTGGCCTCAAATTCACAGAGATCCGCCTGCCTCTGCCTCCCAAGTGCTGGAATTAAAGATGTATGCCAGCACTGCCTTGCTATCTAAAAAAAAAAAAAAGGTAGAAAGACAGGCTCTCTGATCTGGTTTGGAGAAAGGGAGGAGGGTCAAGACACAGACAAGCTTGGAATGTGCCATATGGGGAGTTGGAGGTGTCCTTCTCCAAAGTGGGGAGCTTGGGAACAGGGCCAGTTCAACAGGAAGATGTTTCTGGCCGCATTGCCTGAGCCATATGGCTTTCCTCTCTGGTCATCTCACCTCAGGACCCCAGTAAAGAATTCCCACCTGAACTGACTGTCCCATTCCAGATAAGGAATTCAGAAAGCAAGAAAGATAAGGAAAGCATTCAGGCTGGCCACAGAATGATTCCAGACCCCTTAGCGGTTGCTTTTCTAGCCCCACCACTGTGTTCCGACCAATTTTGTGGCAGAAATAAGTTGGAGGCAGAGGTAGGAGCACAGGAGAGGGTAGAGCCATGTCCAGCATCCTCAAGTGGTCAGAGCTAGGACCAAAGAGAGGTCCCCAGGAAGCAAAGGGATTGCTGGAAGGTATCTGACTCAGAGAGTCAACAAGGATGCGCTGGGGCTCCCTCCTGGGTTAGGGTCCCCAGGGATGGGGGGAGGAACACACGTGCGCATACACTCAGAGGTCCAGGTGTGGAAAACAGACTTGGTACAGGCTCTAGGTCTTATATGGACTTAGCTGCAGCTCAGCGGGCCACTCTAAAGAGAAAGGGGCTTAGTGTAGGTCTGGTCCGGTAGGAAAGTGTGACTCAGCTACGTGCTGTTGCTTCAGTTGCCTGGTGCTTGGCTTGTCACTTGGGTAGCCTGAACCATGTACCCCGGTATAAACAATGGCTTTATAAGGTCTCCAGGGAAGGCACCATGGGCAGGAGGGGGGTTGGGGCAGGGATCCTTGGGAAGATAGCTGCAGTTGGAAGATGCTCCAGCGAGAGGCTGCCTTCTCACCATGGTACAGCTGGATAAACAAGCCAAATGTGGGATGGGGATGACCCCAAGGCACGTAGTCCATCATCAGTAGAGCCAGGTACCTGTCACTTATCCTGAGTACTTCCAAGGTCTCAGATGAGATCAGGGATGACTAATAAGGGGCGGGGTAGGATCACAGAGGGCAGAGTCTTGTCCAGTATCCACAAGTGGTCAGAGGTGGAACCAGGACAGAAACTTTTCAGCTTCTCAGTGTCTTTGTAAAAGATCTGGTGAGGAGCTGGGCTGTGATCCCAACTCCGCTGGAGGCAGAGGTAGGAGAACCACAAATTCCAGGCTTGCCTGGGCTTCGGGGGAGATTTCAAGGCTAGCCCCAGCAATTTATTGAGCCGCTAATCTCAAAAGGTAAAGAGCTAGGATGTAGCTCAGTGATGGAGAGCTTCTGTCTCAAGCTTGAGTCCCTGGATTTAATCTCCAGTACCACCACAAAGATGGTCTAGGTGAGCTGGGAGTAGATTCCAGTCCTACCACAGTCCTGGATTTGAAGGTACCAGATGGGGTCTTGGGTTACCCCATGTCTGGGGACCAGCAGCAATCTGTTTTCCCTTCCCTGCCAAAGTAAGCTTACTGAGCAACAGCAACAAGGGGCCGGCACAAACAGGAGGCAACACAGAAGAGACTCTGTCATAGTTTGGGACAGGAGGAAAAGCAAAGCTGAGCTTATACCCCGTCTTAAAGCTGTGGGGGGAAGGGTTCCTACAGTAGGGAAAGGGGAGTTCCAGGCAGTCGCTAGCACCCACGGTTGAGGGCATGTATCCCATACCAGGTCCAGCCTGGCACCTTCTGAGCTGTGAAGCTGTGTGAAGTGCAGCACTCTGAAGGAGAACCAGAAGGGCAGCTGCACCACAGAGCACAGTGTAGGGTGTAGACGATGCAGCTGATGTGGCTGGGATCCTCACCTGCCTCCCTTGCTCAGCCCAAAGCAGGTGATAACAGCTAAAGGGCCACTCCTGACATAGCCTCCTGGCCTCTATTTCCATTAAAAGACCTGTCCCAGGAGAAAG